GCTACAGGGATGGTGCAGGAGGGAAGGATTCAGATACCTGGATAATTGGGGCTCATTCTGGGGTAGGTGGGACCTCTACAAACAGGATGGTCTACACCTGAACCAGAGGGGTACCAATATCCTGGGGGGGAAATTTGCTAATGCTGTTGGGGAGGATTTAAACTAATTCAGCAGGGGGATGGGAACCTGATTTGTAGCTCCAGTGCACAGGAGGTTGAGAGTAGTGAGGTCATGAATAAGGTTTCAAGGTCGCAGGAGTGTACCGGCAGGCAGGAAGGTGGTTTGAAGTGTGTCTACTTCAATGCCAGGAGCAACGGGAATAAGGTGGGTGAACTTGCAGCATGGGTTGGTACCTGGGACTTCGATGTTGTGGCCATTTCGGAGACATGGATAGAGCAGGGACAGGAATGGTTGTTGCAGGTTCCGGGGTTTAGATGTTTCAGGAAGATCAGGGAAGGTGGTAAAAGAGGGGGAGGTATGGCATTGTTAGTCAAGGACAGTATTACGGTGGCAGAAAGGACGTTTGATGAGGACTCGTCTACTGAGGTAGTATGGGCTGAGGTTAGAAACAGGAAAGGAGAGGTCACCCTGTTGGGAGTTTTCTATAGGCCTCCAAAAAGTTCCAGAGATGTAGAGGAAAAGATTGCAAAGATGATTCTGGATAGGAGCGAAAGTAACAGGGTAGTTGTTATGGGGAACTTTAACTTTCCAAATATTGACTGGAAACGCTATAGTTCGAGTACTTTAGATGGGTCAGTTTTTGTCCAATGTGTGCAGGAGGGTTTCCTGACACAGTATGTAGATAGGCCAACAAGAGGCGAGGCCACATTGGATTTGGTACTGGGTAATGAGCCAGGCCAGGTGTTAGATTTGGAGGTAGGTGAGCACTTTGGTGATAGTGACCACAATTCGGTTATGTTTACTTTAGCGATGGAAAGGGATCGGTATATACCGCAGGGCAAGAGTTATAGCTGGGGGAAAGGCAATTATGAGGCGATGAGGCAAGATTTAGGATGCATAGGATGGAGAAGGAAACTGCAGGGGCTGGGCACAATTGAAATGTGGAGCTTGTTCAAGGAACAGCTACTGCGTGTCCTTGAGAAGTATGTACCTGTCAGGCAGGGAGGAAGTGGTCAAGCGAGGGAACCGTGGTTTACTAAAGAAGTTGAATCTCTTGTCAAGAGGAAGAAGGAGGCTTATGCAGAGATGAGGCGTGAAGGCTCAGTTAGGGTGCTTGAGAGTTACAAATTAGCCAGGAAGAACCTAAAGAGAGAGCTAAGAAGAGTTAGGAGGGGACATGAGAAGTCTTTAGCAGGTAGGATCAAGGAAGACCCTAAAGCTTTCTATAAGTATGTCAGGAATAAAAGAATGACTAGAGTAAGATTAGGACCAGTCAAGGACAGTAGTGGGAAGTTGTGCGTAGAGTCCGAAGAGATCGGAGAGGCGCTAAATGAATATTTTTCGTCAGTATTCACACAGGAAAAAGACAATGTTGTCGAGGAGAATACTGAGATACAGGCTATTAGACTAGACGGGATTGAGGTTCATAAGGAGGAGGTGTTAGCAATTCTGGAAGGTGTGAAATAGATAAGTCCCCTGGGCCGGATGGGATTTATCCTTGGATTCTCTGGGAAGCTAGACAGGAGATTGCAGAGCCTTTGGCTTTGATCTTTATGTCGTCATTGTCTACAGGAATAGTGCCAGAAGACTGGAGGATAGCAAATGTTGTCCCCTCGTTCAAGAAGGGGAGTAGAGACAACCCTGGTAATTATAGACCAGTGAGCCTTACTTCGGTTGTGGGTAAAGTGTTGGAAAAGATTATAAGAGATAGGATTTATAATCATCTAGAAAGGAATAATTTGATTAGGGATAGTCAACACGGTTTTCTGAAGGGTAGGTCGTGCCTCACAAACCTAATTGAGTTCTTTGAGAAGGTGACCAAGCAGGTGGATGAGGGTAAAGCGGTTGATGTGGTGTATATGGATTTCAGTAAAGCGTTTGATAAGGTTCCCCACAGTAGGCTATTGCAGAAAATACGGAGGCATGGGATTGAGGGTGATTTAGCGGTCTGGATCAGAAATTGGCTAGCTGTAAGAAGACAGAGGGTGGTGGTTGATGGGAAATGTTCATCCTGGAGTTCAGTTACTAGTGGTGTACCTCAAGGATCTGTTTTGGGGCCACTGCTGTTTGTCATTTTTATAAATGACCTGGATGAGGGCGTAGAAGGATGGGTTAGTAAATTTGCGGATGACACTAAAGTCGGTGGAGTTGTGGATAGTGCGGAAGGATGTTGCAGGTTACAGAGGGACATAGATAAGCTGCAGAGCTGGGCTGAGAGGTGGCAAATGGAGTTTAATGCGGAAAAGTGTGAGGTGATTCACTTTGGAAGGAGTAACAGGAATACAGAGTACTGGGCTAATGGTAAGATTCTTGGTAGTGTGGATGAGCAGAGAGATCTCGGTGTCCATGTGCATAGATCACTGAAAGTTGCCACCCAGCTTGATAGCGTTGTTAAGAAGGCGTACGGTGTGTTAGGTTTTATTGGTAGAGGGATTGAGTTTCGGAGCCATGAGGTCATGTTGCAGCTGTACAAAACTCTGGTGCGGCTGCACTTGGAGTATTGTGTACAGTTCTGGTCACCGCATTATAGGAAGGATGTGGAAGCATTGGAAAGGGTGCGGAGGAGATTTACCAGGATGTTGCCTGGTATGGAGGGAAGGCCTTATGAGGAAAGGCTGAGGGACCTGAGGCTGTTTTCGTTCGAGAGAAGAAGGTTAAGAGGTGACTTAATAGAGACGTACAAGATGATCAGAGGATTAGATAGGGTGGACGGTGGGAGCCTTTTTCCTTGGATGGTGATGGCTAGCACGAGGGGACATAGCTTTAAATTGAGGGGTGATAAATATAGGACAGAAGCTAGAGGTAGGTTCTTTACTCAGAGAGTAATAAGGGCGTGGAATGCCCTGCCTGCAAAAGTAGTAGACTCGCCAACTTTAAGGGCATTTAAATGGTCATTGGAAAAACATATGGATGATAATGGAATAGTGTAGGTTAGATGGGCTTAGATTGGTTAGATTGGTTTCACAGGTCGGTGCAACATCGATGGCCGAAGGGCCTGTACTGCGCTGTCATGTTCTGTGTTCTGTGTTCTGTTTTTTGTTATTGATTTTCAAATTGCCTTTAAAAAGATTGAAAATACCAGTATTTTTAAAGATACCAATGATCAGACAGTGGTTTACAGGATCCAAGCGATCAAACAGTGGTTTACAGGATCCAAGCAAGTTTCTCCTTTTGCAGGATGTGGGCATAATGGTTAGGTCTTGTTGGAGAAGACACTTCGCAAAGAGAGGCGAAGATGGTCATGAGGTTGAGTTGACTGGAGCTAATGGTGTCTAACTCTTAATACTCAATCCAATGGTAAAGCTGTCTAAGTGTTACAGAGTTGGGTATTGTATTTGTGGATTGAAAGGCAGGACCTTAGAATTAGTTTGCAAAATGATAGAGGACACTACGTGGTCCCTTTGAAAGATGATATATTCTTTTAGGATGGGAGATTTAAAAAAAAATGTGTGTAGACAGCAGCAGATGCACAGAGTTCTTGAAATTGAAACATTGTGTCAAAAGGCTATACTGATAGCAGGCAAAGCAGCATTTTTAGCAAAACAACAGGGTTTTGAATTTAGCTAATTAAATTTAAACGAGGCTCTGGATACCAAAACTCAGTTAAATTTCAATCTGATGGTTTTGACAACCTAAAACTAATCCTATTGAAAGAAATTAATAGGTCATCAAGGATATTAAAATAGAGGGTGTTTGAAAATTGATGTGAGAGAGACCAGCTCTCAACAGCCATCAACTCTAAAGAAAGAGAAAGTCACTGACTCTCTCAGAAATCTCAATAAAGGTACTACAGCACTCTTAATTGATATTCCTGACACACGAATTTGATGGAGGAAGGCGTTCCTGACTGGAGAACAGTGGAGAAGGCAAAGAACAATTTGGAACCCTTATCCTGGCTGTAATTTTTGAGAGACTAAGTTTTAATTTATTTTTCTTATTATTTTGGCTTATATAAGTGGGACCTATGTTTATTGGAACAGCATACCATTAGAATTTTGTTTTATTTGGGAATAGTTAGTAGTTAAGGGCAGAATTGTTCAGTTTGTTAGTTGTTCTGGTAATTTGTCAACTGTTAGAGTTAGATAAATAAATTGTTACTTGTTACTTATAAAGTGAGTATCATGGATTTCTTTCATTTAAGCACTGCTTTATAACACACTGGGGATGAGAGGCAGATTATACCACTTTTCACACTTTCTTTAACAGATTACGAGGCAAGGTGAGCTTCTCTGGGTGTTTCAGTTTTAGTTATCAGAGGGGTGTTGACCACTAAGTGAACCAAGAAATTGGGAATGTATTGGGGTTGGAATGGTATTAAGGATGGTATGAGGTTGAATTTACTTGAGCTTCCGATATTTACTTTTTCGTACCTCATTCAACGCAAGTGATTGAGCAGCAAATCGCTGAACTTTCTTCATTCAAATCCTGTGCAGGAATTATGTTTGCTTGATTCCAGCTCCACATTTAATATTCTATTTTTGGTGTAAAATCAGATCTCTGTTCTCCCAAGAAGGTTCTGTTGGTGTACCAGCCATTGATCTTGTTAGTTCATTTAGTAAAGTGGTTAAATTCATAGGTTGCAGTTTTGTTTACTATCAGGCAAAATACTAAATCAAAGATAAATGATCAGAAGAATGTACTTAAAAATTTGCCTCTCACTTGTTTGAGGTTGTCTAGATCTGCAAGTGAACAGTATATTATGTACAGATGGTGTTGTGCTCTCAGCACCAGAGGTCCTCCAGCTTTTATTTCAGTACTTGGTGGATAAGATGGCAATATTTGTGTTGTCCAGTACGTTTTTGGTTTTCTGAATGTCACTCCTTCATTGGTAGCAGCATACAGTGGCTCCTAAATTAATTGAACATTTGCGTCACTTGTAGAATATAAAGGACATGCTGGAGAAACTTGGTGACCAAATTGAGGATATTCATGAGAATCAGCCTGATGCCCTTCTTGAAGCTTCTGCAGCTGAGGTTGTCCAAATAGGTGACACATTGACGCAACTTCATGCAGAATGGGATCGAGTGAACAGAATGTATAATGATCGCAAAAGGTAAGGGAACAATACCATGTGTTGGTAGAGGGTCAGCAAGTTTAATTTTATACTGTTTCAGTACTTGGGTGCTGTATAGATAATGTAATGAAAAATTTAACAGTTAACTTTTTAGTTCTCTTGTGAACTTTAATTTGTTGAAAGAGCATGGAAATTTTGATGATGGTTCAATTAGTTTTGCTGCTGAGTCATATGGAGAGAAAATGGTCTCGTGCAGGCTGCCGTGGTTGTCACCAGTTGGAGAGATGTTAGAGATGTTCAGTTGGTGTCAATGTTCTTAGTCTGGAGAAATGAAAAGATTCAACTTCTGAATGTGAACTTGAAGTTGGTTCTGATGAGCAGCAAATTGCTGGTGGACATTTCAAATAAAGCTGAGAGAATTTTATAAGTAACTGATGAGGAAACTTTGTGCTCTAAGAGTTCTCTTGGTGAATCCTAATCAATTTAGTATTATACTGATAAACATTTCTAGCAGAAAGCTGAGAGAGCAATTGAAATTTTTGATATCCCCTATAACCTACTAGGAAGGTCAGCTCAAAGCTCAGAGAATGAAAATGAGATTCTTTTGTTGAATTAAACAGTTGTTCTACAAAATACAGACTTCAAAAAAATACGCTGAATGACAGGAAGAGGGTGTGCCAAAGAAGATAGAGCAAACCAGCGAGAGCAGTGCAGCCATATTCAGAGGGTAACAAGGTGAATAATCTGAAATCTTATTGGATGTGGATAACTGAAATAATGAGTTTGGGAGTAAGGAAACGAAACAGGAATGAGGGTTAACTAAAATTTTTGGATTGCACAGTGATTTAGAGTTGTATTAAATGTACGGATCAGAGGAATGATCCAGAGGTTCTGGTGGATTAATTAACAAAACTGGCAGCACATCATTATGTTGTACTAAGAAGAAAATTGACAAATTAAAAACTGGGAAACTTTACCATTGGATTGCAATCCAAATCTAACAGATTATTTCAGGTATTAACCTAATTCCTCTGGAGCACTGTTGGTATTTAAGATAACCTAATTGCAGTACATGTGCTTTGCTTTTATAGGTAGTGTATGGTAAGAAAGATCATTCTGGGATTTGAGATCTTAACTGGAAGGAAATGTTCAAGAAGTTTGTTTCCTTTGAAGAAGAAGGGACTTGGAAATGATAATAATGCATTCTTTTAAGATTATGAAAGGAATAATGATAAGTGACAAGTAACATTAGCATCACGTAACTGTCAGGCAATGCCAATCTCCAACAAGCATGAATCTGTTCGTCTCCCCCTAGTGTTCAATAGCATTACCATCCCTGAAACCTTGACTATCAGCATCCTGGAAGTTGTGATTGAACAGAAAATGAACTGGACCAAATATACGTATACTGTGATTACAAGAGCAGATCAGAGGCTAGGCATTGTATGTAACTCACCTCCCGTCTGCACAGTGCCTGTTCATCATTTACAAGGCAAAGGCCAGGAGTGTGATGGAATACTCTGCATTTGTCTGGTTGGGTGCAGCTGCAGCAGCATTTGAGAAGCTCATCACCATCCAAGTTAAGATAATAGTTTATGTTAGAAATTTGTTTAAGTGTCTCAGGAAAAGAAGCTAGTTGAAGAAAATAGCATTTAGTGAATGTATAGAAATTCACTGAGAAAGGAAATGGTTGAGCAAGAACTGTTAGTGTGGAGTTACTGGAACATTTTTATTGAGGTTTGGGAATTTGTAAGAATTTTATTGTGGAAGACAGGGTAGTGTGAGCTTGAATTCTTTTCTGAACGTTTGTAATGAAGTCTTTCCAACTTTTTGGCCAATGTAGTATAGTTCATATATATAGTCCATGTAATATCTAATAATTGTTTTATTCCTTGTGTTAAAAGTAAACTGACAGACTCTTGTGAATGTATTCAGTAACATATCTCCCTAGTTTACAAAAGAAGTTAGGATCTAACAAGCCAGGTTTTACTCTGGGATCTGACCTCTCCAGCATTGAAATCAACTACGGTGATGACATTGCAAGATGTTTTATATTTCAATAAACTCATCTTTCATTCAAGGAAATTCTAATAAGTATAGACCTAACCTGTTCAGTCTTCATAAGATAACCGTTTTATCCCAGGTATGAATCAAGTGGAGGCACACTGAGAGCCTTTGGTGAACTTAACCTCTAGTAACATCTCAGTGAATTTACACTAAAACTGTTGCAGTTCTGTTTTTAATAACTATCCAATATCCTATGCGCTAAAAGCAATGTCCAGCTCTGGCCTTAAACTAAACGTTACTAAACCAAACAAGTATTAATGACTTGGATGAGGAAATTGATTGTGCTGTTGTCAGGTTTGCAGATGACAGAAAAATAGATGGGAAGGCTTGTGGTGAGGATGACGCAGAATCTGCAGAGGGATGTAGATAGGTTAAGTGATTGGACAAAAACTTAGCAGATGAAATATAATGTGGGGGAATGTGAGGTTATGCACTTTGGTAGGAAAAATAGAGGAGCTGAATATTATTTAAATGGAGCAAGACTACAGAAAGCTATGGAAAGCAGAGGAATTTTGGGAGTCCTCGTGCATGAATCACAAAAGGCTAGCATCCAGTTTCAGTGGTTAGTAGGGAAGGCAAATGGAATGTTGGCCTTTATTTCAAATGAAATGGAATGTAAAAGTAGGGAGGGTTTGTTAAAACATACAAAGCACTGATCAGACCACACCTGGTATACAGTGAAACAATTTTGAGTCCCTTATCTAAGGAAAGATATATTGGCATTGGAGGCAGTCTAGAGAAGGTTTACTAGGCTGATACCAGCGTTGGAGTATGGATGGACCCTCTTATGAGGAATTGAAGCATATAGGTTTCTTAAGGGGCATGACCGGCTAAATGCTGAGAGGGTGTTTCCCCTCATTAGCAAGTCTAAAAACAGAGGGCATAGTCTCAGAAAAAAGGGATACCAATCTAAGACTGAAATGAGGAGGGATTTATTTTCTCAGAGTGTTGACTGTTTTTGGAACTTCTTGCTGCGTAGAACTGAGGGGAAAAAGTCATTGTGTATATTTAAGACTGAGCTAGATAGATTCTGAAACAAAAACAGCAGGTCTGGCAGCATTTGTGGAAAGAAAGCAGAATTAACATTTTCAGCCCAGTGACCCTTCTGAACCTCATGTAAAGATTGTTTCAGATTTCCAGCCTCCGCAGTTCTTTGTTTCATTATAGATAGATTCTTGATCAGTAGGGGAATCGAGGGTTACGGAGAAAAGGCAGGAAAATGGGCCTGGGCAATATTGGATCAGCAATGATCTTTTTGTACGGCAGAGCAGGCTCGAGGGACCGAAAGATCTACTCCTGTTCCTGTTTCTTATGGTCTTATGGAGAGTTTGTATTGGGCCTGTACTCGTTGGAATATAAAAGTATGAGGGGTGACCTTATTGAAACGTACAAGATTCTTAGGGGACTTGGGGTCAATGCAGAGAGGTTGTTTCTTCTTGTGGGACAGTCTGAGATGACAGGACATAATCTTAGAATAAGGGGCTGCAAATCAGAGATGAAGAGAAATTTCTTCTGAGAGTAGTGAAACTAAAATTCTTTACTAAGGAGGGCTGTTGAGGCTGGGTCATTAAGTATATTCAAGGCCGAGATGGATTTTTAATCGGTAAGGGAATCCAGGGTTATAGGGGAAAGACAGGAAAGTGAAGATGAGGGTTATCTGATCTGCCACTTCAATTCCTTTGTCCTGTGACCTTATTAGTAAGCAGGTTTGAATGAAACAGATTTGTTTGATAACCTATGTGACTATAACAAAGACAAAGCAATAGTCCTTATCCTTACCACTACTTCTCTCGACTCGTCCACTGTCTTTAAATTAGACTGCTTTTTCAATAAGTATGAATTTCATCAAACTAAATATTTGTCTTCAGTCACAAAAAGAGATATTGCTGGAGTTCTGTGTTTGTTATTTACTGTCTTCAGCCCCTGCAGTATCTTAGTTCTCTGGCAACTGTCTGAGATTGAATCACATCATTCGCAACCTTGGTGTCTTATTTAACCTTGAGATAAGTCTCCAATCTTGTCTCCATCAGAAAGACTTTTTATTTCCCTCTTCATAATCAAGTAGCTCTGCCCCTACTTCAGATCCTCTGCTGCTGAAACTTTGATCTGTGCCTTTGTTACCTCTAGGATTGACTTTTCCAGTGCTCTCTTGGCTGACATTTCAAAGTCTACCCTCTTTAAACTGGAATTCTTCTTCATGGCTATCAGCTATGTTCACGCTGATCTATTCTGGTTCCTAGTGAAGGAGTTCTTCTACATTAAGCTATTATCTTTGATGGAAAAATCACCTCATTTCCTCCTCTTATCTCTGTAATCTCCTCTAGCTCTACAACCCTTTTATCTGGACTGCTGTACCTCTGGATTTTTGAATAGCCCCTCTTTGAGTTCTCCATCATCTGGTTGTGCCTTCAGCTGTCTGGGGCCCTAGCTCTGGATTACCTGTTATTCGCTCACAGGATGTTGGCGCCTCTGGCTAGGCCAGCATTATTGTCCATCCTTAATTAAGATTCAACTAATTCATTTGAGAATGAAGTTGAGAGTCAACCACATTGCTGGGCCGGACTAGGTAAGGATGACACCTTTCCTTCCCTTAAGGACATTAGTGAACCAGATGGGTTATTTTGACAATCGGCAATAGTTTCGTGGTCAACATTAGATGATGATGCAAGGGTATGCGTAAGGTCCTTAGTACCAGATTCTTTATTGAATTCAAATTCCACCATCTGCCGTGGCAGGATTTGAACGAGGGACCCCGGAACTTTAGCTGAGGTCCTGGAAAATAGTCCAGCAATAATTCCACTAGACCATTGCCTCCCCACTTTGCTCTCTCTCCCATTTTTTCTTTTTTAGATACTTGTTAAAAACTAACCTTTTTGAACAAGTTTTGGTCATAGATCTTAATAGTTATTTTTATGTGACTTGGTGTAAAAATTTACTTCCTGACACACCAATCACGTGCCTTGGACCATTTATTGAATCAAAGACACTACATAAATACGATTTGTTGGTAGGCTCATGGTGAGTGATGACTGAATGTGGGAATTTCTACAGGTAAAACAAGAAATGTGTTACATATTAGAATGATGAACTGCACAGACAGAGGCCTTCTCGCCCAACAAGTCTCTACATATTCTCTAATGCCAAAAGCAGCAGTATAGATATTTCTGAGGAAGTCCTGTTGCATTTGGTTTAGTGAGTAAACCAAGCTTCAAAATGGAGTGTTTCTCTTGATCTGTTTAAGGTTTTTCAGTCTCTGGGGTTTATGTGACTGTTAAAAAATCTAACTCTGAGATGTGAAACTTCTGTCTTTTTGCAGCTGTTTTGACAAGGCTGTGGAAGAATGGCGACAATTTCACTGTGACTTAAATGACCTGAATCAGTGGGTGATGGAAGCTGAGCAGTTACTGTCTGTTGCCCGAGACCGAAATGGTAGTCTGGATTTGGAGGAAGCCAGGATTCACCAACAGGTGAGATTCTTGGCATTCATTCTCCTCATACATTGAAAAGTATGAACAAACCTGCAAATTTCCTACAGCTTTGTTTGAAGTGGAGATTGCATCCCACAAGCTTGTTATTGGATGTCATTTTGTATGAAACTGCTTCCTTCACCATGGATCTGGATACTTAACTCCTTGAAATTGCAGAGTTGAGCATTTAAGAAAGCACAGCAAAACCATGTGACTGCCTTTCCCATTTCACCTGGAGCCATAGAGTCATTACAGCATGGAAACAGGCCCTCAGGCTAACCGGTCCATGCTGACCATAATGTTGTAACTATATCCGCATCCACCATTTCCTTTGGAAGTTCATTCTACACACGAACTACTCCTTGTAAAATAAAAAAATTGTCCCTCATGTCTTTTTTAAATCTTTCTCTTCTCACCTTAAAAATATGCCTCCCAGTCTTGAAATGCCCCACCGTAGGGAAAAAGACACCTGCCGTTTATCTTATCAATACCCCTCATTATTTTTTAAACCTATATAAGGTCACCCATCAATCTCCTACGCTCCAGTGAAAAAAATAGTCCCAGCTTATCCAGCCTCTTCTTATACCTCAAATCCTCCATTCTGGCAACAACCTGAGCGGGGAGGGTGACGGGTGTTACAACACCTCAGTTGGTGGGGAATTCTCTCTCTTGTCGGGTGGAGAGTGTTTTCTCTCTTGCTCTATGTGGGAGGGGGGTTTGTCTGTCTCTCTAGGGAAGGTTCTCCCTTGGGGGAGGGTTGTCTTTCTGTCTGTCTCTCTTTCACGGGGATGTTTTTGTCAGTTTCCCTTTCTGCATGTTTCTCTCTCCCTTTCCCTCTTGCTCAGGGTCTCGCTTCTTTCTTATATAAAATTAAAACATGGTACTGGACACCGTCAACACCTCTGGAGGTCAGTATTTGTGGAGAGAAACAAAATTAACATTTAAAGCCCGTGACCTTCGCAGAGCCAAACAGCACAGTAGGCGACTTGACTCATGTGCCTGTGCGAACAATTTTAAACAGCTCATTGATCAGTCCCCCTCCCTTCTCAACATTGTTTCAACTGCTGAGTTAAGTCTCTTTGAAAGTGTTTTCATCAGAATCCCTCTCCCTTTCCTTGTACCATAGGAACACCTTTTCTTTGTCTTCATTATTTCATAGAACAGTTACGTGACAGAAGGAGGCTATGCAGCCTCTTGTGTTTGTGCAGTTCTTTGGAGGAACATTTTGCCTAGTGGCATTTCTGTCTTTCTTCTCTATAATGTACAGAATTTTTCTCTTCATATTGTGGTCCAATTTCGTTTTGAAAATTATGATTGTATCTAAGGTTTTGGAGTAGATTTGTAGCTCGGGTTGTGGGTGTTGAGGTTGGTTAGCTCGCCGAGCTGGTTTGTTGTTCCGCAGACATTTTGTTACCGTGCTTGGTAACATCCTCAGTGCAGCCTCTGATGAAGCGTCGGTGTGTTTTCCCGCCTGGCTTTTAAAATCTAGGGTCTCTTGCGATGGATTGCCTCACTTCCGGGTTTCCTCTGTAGTTGAATGTATATGAGGTGGAGTTCAATGTGTTTATTAATAGCCTGCTTCGTGGAGTGCCATGCTTCCAGGAATTCTTGTGCTTGTCTCTAGCGACTTCACAATGTCAGGCTTTATATTCTGTATTCTAATTAGTCCCTGCATAAAAATATATTTCGCCATGTTGATATTGCTTCTTTTGGTAATCACCCTAATTCAGTATATCCTTGATGTTTCCACCAATGGGGAAGGTTGATCTGTCTAACTGTTCTGACCATACATGATTTTGAACACTGAGATCTCCTCTCAGTCAGATCTTTTCCAAGAAGGACAGTGCCAACTTCCTAAACTATCCAGTTAATTGAAGTTCTTCAGCCCTGGAAACATTCTAATGGCCTTAACACCTTCTTGTCCAGTCTAAAGTGTAGTGCCCAGAACTGAATGTAATAGTCTAGTTCAGTCTAATCTGAACTAGTGTTTGATGTGATTAATGACGACTTCCTTCCTTTTGTATTCTATGCGCCGATTTATGAAGTCCAGGATCCCATTTGCTTTGCTTTAGTAACGATGCTCTGAAACCATACTACCATCTCCAATGACTTGCAGGCATATAAACCTAGGTCCCTTGGCTTCTGCACCCACAAGATATATTGCTTGTGTTAAATTTCATCTGTCAGTCATTCGTCCATTCCATTAACTTGTCTGTGTCCTTATGAAGTTTAACACTGTCTTCCTCACCATTCACAATACTTCTAAATTTTGTATCATCTATAAATTTTTGAAGTTTTGCCTTGCACACCAAATCTGTATAATTAATATTAAGAAATACAGGGGACCTAATTCTGATCATTGAGGGTATCTGCTTGAAACCTTCTGTAGTGATTGAAGTGAGATCAGCCAGGTGGACTTCATAGAATAAGAGTCCCCCGATTGGGGTATTAAGCTGGTCCAATAAGGGAGTCCTGGCTGACTGACAGACAGAAAGAAAGAAGAGTGTCAGAGGTTCTTTTCACTCTGAGAGCTGGCTCTGAAGAAGCTGGATCTGTGCCAAGGACTTTCTACGGATCAATAAAGAATGACTTGATGATGAGATACCGACCTCTGTGGAGTTATTTCCCCTCCCTCGAGTCTGAAAAGCAATTGTTCACCGCATTCCTGATTTTGTATCCAGGTTGCTATGTTTCCTTTTTCTTCATTAAGTTCTAACTTGCTTCAGAAATCTGTTGGTAGCACTTTTAAACATCTTTAGGAGAAGTCCTTGTACATCACATAAGTTATGTTATCACCATCTGCCTCCTTTGTTACCTTATCAATCCCTTGCTAACATTCATTGATGAAATTGTATTCAGTCAATGACTGTTGATTGCATCCCAAATTGCTTCCTAAGGTTAAATAACTGGCATGTAATTGCAAGGGTTGATCTTTATCTTTCGATTTAAATAAGGAAGTAACAGTTTAAATTCTCTCGTACCCTGGCACCACCTCTGATTCTAAGGAAAATTAATAAATTATGGCCAGTATCTCTGCAGTTTCCCAGCTTACTTTCCACTTTGGTTGTATCTCATCCAGTCCTTGTGCTTTATCAATTTTGCATTTAGCCAACCTAATAACTTCCTTTTATCAATTTTTAACTTGTCATGTGTCTCAGCTTTCTTATCTTTAACTATGACTTTGACAGCATTTTATTTTTTGGTGAAGACAGATGTGAATTATTCAGTTAACACCTCAACCACGTATCATGCGTAAATCCTCATTTAGGCCCCAAATTGGTTCCACTGTTCCTTTTGCTGTGTATACACTTATGCAGGACTTTTGGATTTCCTTTTATGTCAGTTGCCAGTTTCTTCTTAGTTCTCTCTTTGCTTTTCTTTAATTGTTTCTGCAGTTCTCCTCTGAACCTTGTATTTTGAGCTGGATGCACCATTATATTATACATTTGATATCTCTTATGTGCACCTTTTTTCTACTTCATCTTAATTACTATCTTCATCCTGGGATCTCTGGATTTGTTTGCTTTCACGTGCCCCTTGTGGGAATCCCTTCAAAAATTAGTGATTGTTCATTTAAGTTTTATTTGCCAATCTTTCATTTTAATTTATCTGGTTTGTTCTGGTTGGTTGGCTCGCTGAGCTGGTTTGTTGTTCCGCAGATGTTTCATTACCCTGCTGGGTAACATCGTCAGTGCAGCCTCCGATGAAGCGCCGTTGTGTTTTCCCACCTGTTATTTAAACTCTGGTGTCCGTTGAGCTGTTTACTACCTCACTTCCGGTTTTCCTTCGCAATGGACTGTATATGGGGTCGAGCTCTATGTGTTTGTTGATGGCTTTCTTCATGGAGTACCAGGCTTCTAGGAATTCCCGTGCTTGTCTCTGCTTTGCTTGTCCCAGGATCTTGGTGTTGTCCCAGTCGAATTGGTGGTTTTCCTTATCCATGTAGATAGAGATGAGGGAGTATTGGTTGTGTCTTTTTGTAACCAATTGATGCTCGTGTACCCTTGTTGTTAATTTCCATCCTGTTTGTCCAATGTAGTGTTTGTCACAGTCTCTGCAGGAAATCTTGTATATGACATTGGTCCACAGTGGGTAGTGGGTCTTTGGTTTGGGTGAGCAGTTGTCGTAGGGTTGATGTGGGTTTGTGTGCTACTCTGATGCCCAGTGGTTGTAGGAGTCTTGCGGTCAGTTCAGACGTGTTCCTGATGTAAGGTAGTGAGTTGAGTGTGTCGGGGTGTGTAGTATCTTCCTGGTGTCGTTTGTGTAATAGGCATCTTCTGACCTAGCGGAACAACAAACTAGCTTAGCGAGCCAACCAATCACAACATCCACAAGCCGAGCTACACAGCTACTCTAAAACCTTATCTGGTTTGTGTTTTTCTCACCTCCTTGAAATCGGCTCTGCCCCCAATTATTGTTTTCTGCTTCAAGATTGGTCCTTGTCTATCTGTAGCCAATCTAAACCATCTAATACAATAATCACTGTCAGCTAAATAGTCTTCCTTTGACATTTGATCCACTTGATTCACCTCATTCCTAAGATTCAGATCCAGTAAGTTCCCCATTTTCGGAGGATTGGAAACATGCTGATGTATAAAATTCTTCTGAATGCGTTCCAGAAACTCATGCCTATCTCAGTCCTTTTCTACTACAATCCCAGTCTATATTTGCATGGTTGAAGTACCCATTATAACCTAAGTATAATTCTTGCACTTTTCCATAGTTTTCCTGCTAATTTGTTCCTCTATTTTTCCTACTTGATAGTTCTGTAGATTCTTAGCTCTAACCAGATAGATTCTGACTTTGACCCTGCTGAGAAATGCTCCCTTTCCAACGCTGAAATGTTGTTCTTTATACTGCTTTTCTTCCTCCTCCATTCTTCTTTTTCCTTCTCTATCTTTCCTGAGCAGCTTATACAAGGGAATGTTTACTACTACCCAGACTTGATCATCTTTGAACCAGATCTCTGTTATTATCCACAACCCCATATTCTCACCTAG